AGGAGGAGGAGAACAAAGGGGGGAGGCTAGGAACAAGCAGAAGAGAAGGGGGGACAGTCACAAAAGCAACAAAAGCAGGAAGTGGGTGTAAGGGCAAGAAAGCAGAGAAGGAAGAGGGGGCCAAGAATGAGAATAAARATAGAAGGAAAAAAGGGAARGATAAGAAGAAACGGAGGGGGTCCARGAAGCAGGAAAGAAAGCAAGGGGCCGAGAATAGGRAAAAGAAAGCATGGGGTGAGGGGATAAGTCCAAGGAGAACAAGAACAAGTGAGGGAGGGGGAGGGAAGAAAAAAAAGGAAGACAAAGAAGAAGGAAAAAACAAAAGGAAGTGGGTGCCAAAAAAGAAGAGTAGGCACAGGGGGAGGGGTGAGAACAAGAAGAAATTAAAGGGAGGGGGSGCCAAGGTGAAGAGGGGCAAGAACGAGACAAAAAAGTCAGGGCGCAAGACTAAGATGAAAAAGAAAAGAATGGGACAAAGCCGAGAAGGAAGAGSGCCAAGGAGGAAGAAAAGAGGAYGGCCCGCGAGAACGAGACGACAAGGAACAGAAGGGGCGCCGACAATGAAAAGAAAAAGGAGGAAGGAAGAAGGGCTGAACAAGAACAGGAAGGGAAAGGCAAGATTAAGAAAAGGGGACCAAGAACAACAAGGAAAACAAGGGTAGAAGGGCAGGAAAAAAGAACAAAGAAGAAACTCGGGACAAAGGAAAAGCGGAGGAGGGGCCGAGAACCAGAAAAGCAGCAAGGGAGGYGTGCCAAGGGGAAGGAAGAGGAGGCGAGGGCGAGAATGAGGGGAAGGGACCGAAAGGGCAACCAAGAACAAGAAAGGAAAGCGGAAGCAAAGAACAGGAACTAAGGAGGTGGAGAACAACAAGGAAAGGCTTTTTTTAATAAACGGACAACAGACTTTTTTTTCTTTTCTTTATTTCTTAGGTGGAGAAAGTGTTTTTCATTTAGCTATTTAGTATTTTTCCACTCTCCCTGTTTCCTGTTCCATACTTCCTTCTTCCCCATTTGGGATACAACCATCACAGCCACCGGACATCGGAACAGGTTCCCGTCCGGCCTCCTACCCAAGGGAGAACGTGGGCGCGCGTGGATGCGCCTCAAAGGCGGCGCCGCCTCGGGGATCGCGCGTCGACGTAACGCCGGCCGGGCCGCTCGTCGCTGCGAGACGCCGCGCGTCCGGGTCCGCTTTCCCCGCGCGCCTCTCGCTCGCCATCTTCTCGACGCATCAACGGGGAAAGGATTCTGAACGGAGAGAGGCAAAAACCAAGTAGGTATCGACACGGTCTGCCGAGGCGCCGGCACCTAAAGCTCTTATTGGCCGGCATCTCTCCGAGGCGGCGACCAGTTCCCTTTYSATCTCGTAAACCCCCWAGYAYRYTTYAGYGAATCACGTCRRCAATAACATCATTTTYCATCTTCKRTGGRCATTCTATTCACTCGACAGCTTAGAGTCRACCTCTTACTCAAATAAGAATTAAAAAACCCGGGTTGCTCTGAAGAAAACAGGCTAGGTACTAYGCATTTTATATTACACTTTGGTTTGGGTGAGTGAATATCTGTTTTCTGGTCAACATAGGGTAGTTAGTTTTTTTTTAAACTCACATTTATATATACATTTATRCATTATTATATATTTACTCACATTTATATAAACATACATTTATATAAAATGCCGATCTCCGATAACTATCCAACATATATACTTAGAATACAGGTTCCTGGAACTCGGTCTACCTAACACCCGAAATCTGTGTCCATACACATCAAGTCTGGGCCTTCTGGGTACGCACGCAGGACACGGGCACAAATACAAAACTGTTATTCTAACAGACACAATTATTCTAATAGACACCAAAAACATCTGACCGAGTATTTCCGATCGGAGCTCCATCGGCTACAAACCTGCTACAGATTGCATATGCTTCTGTTATTCTTTTAGAGGGTTCGATATTAACTCAAAAGAACGTAAGGGAAACCTAGCCCTAACGAAGCRAGGGGAATTCAAAAGCGGAACAGGTACATTAACTGAAGGATATTTGAAAACATGTTAGCCTGTTAGCGAAGAAAAAAATCAAAACCAAACACAACAGCCCCTCAACCCAACCCGATCCTCCCCTTCTACCCCAGAAACCACGCAAGCACTAGAACACCACATCCACGAGGTCTAATTTAGACTTTTCCTGGAAGATTTCTATTTTAATAGAAGCCCTGCAAGCATTAATGCATACAACTGAGCAAGGTATTTTACTTTGCTCACATGATTTTCTTTAATGCAACCACGGTGATAAACAGTTGAAATCATCTATTGTGCAGATGCACATACCTTAAAAACATCTCTTTGTATTCATACCTATTAGCTAATTAGCAAATTTGTACTACAAAATGATAGAGTACTTGGAGAGGCTCCTCCGGTTAGTTCCAATAATAACTAACCACTGAAGCCCACCTTTACTGCTCTCTACTCACCAAATTAATCGGTGTACCATTTCAGGTGCACCGCCCGGTTCCGTTTAGCAATGGACACCATGATAATGCCRGGGCTACAGCCACATTGGAGGTAGGAATGGTGGGCATCACATCAGTCACAGAATCACAGAATATTCAAGGCTGGAAGGGACCTCTAGAGATCATCTACTCCAACCTTCCTGCTCAAGCAGGCACACCTAGAGCATGTGGCACAGGGCGGCATCCAGGCGGGTTTGGAAGACCTCCAGAGAAGGAGACTCCACATCCTCCCTGGGCAGCCGGTTCCACTGCTCTGTCACCCTCACTGTAAAGAAGTTCCTCCTCACCTGGAGACGGAACTTCCTGTGCTCCAGCTTRTRGCCATTACCCCTCGTCCTATTGCTGGCCACCAATGAAAACAGCTTGTCCCCTTCCTCCCTGCATTCTCCCTTCCTGAACTTAAGTTCAGTCAGGAAGTGCTAATTCTCACAGTTCATTTCTGCTCCCCCCTTACCTTCTTAACCCCCTCACGCCTTCAGCAAACAGTGGCAGATTCTCTGCACTTCAAAGGATCCCGTTCTCAAGAAACGCCTCTGCTTCCCTAGGACACTGGATTGTCCCCCCAAAGTAATATTCAATGCCATGACTACAGTTTTCCAAATCCCCAGGACAGCAGGCACCGCGAAAAGCACTTCCCCTCTTCCCTCTGCCATTAATCACTAGTGACTAACACGCAAGTGGGACAAAGAAGCATTCCTACCTACGACTAGCAAAGCGACATAGTACAAGAAGCCGGAGCAAGTTTTGAGGCAGACCTGAAGCCATCAGCTACAGAAAAATATACGTCTTCTTAAATGCATYGTGCTTACTTCCTCTGTAAAGCATCGGGCTGATCCTTACCTTGTACAAGTCGAGCTGCTTTTTTCCCTTTCCAAAGCCTTCCGGACGACGTTTCGCCGGAGAGTTCGTGTTGTCCGACCGTCAAGTACTTTAACCGACGCCACTTGCACCTGTAGAAATATTTCACATGTGTCATCTCAGGCATTTATCTTATTGCATGGAACAATTCAGATTTTAATTGATCATATGAAAAAGAGTCTTAAGGTTATTTGCTCTTTCCATGTGATTTATTGCTATGGATATTTAGAACAATTACACCACGCTGAAGCCTCTACGACCGCAAGCTGCTATAGATCCCGGCAATGTATGGAGGTACAGCCCCCTCAACCGGTTAGAACTTTTCTTTACAATCCCACATTTCCGCATTGTCTGCCGACCGAGGGCCTTCTTGCCCAACTGGCCGTCCAGAAGGTTTGGCTTTGCTAAGGAGCCCCACAGGAGGGGAGAAAGGAAATGAACTAATTGCTCTGATGTTGAAGCCTACCAGGCTGAATTTTACAAGTCTGTTCTCTGATTTTTCTACCTCAGTCTCCAGGACATCTCCGCTTTTATGAGGGGAGGAGTGCGCACACACATACGCCCTCGTTCTTGCCATCTGCTCCTCGGGTTATGTGGTACACCCAGGTTACCTACACCCATGACACGTTCCAACTTCTAAAACAAGTCATTGCAAGTTCGGTCCTATGATTGATCTCAGAGAAAGGCCCCATTCGAGTGTGTAAGCAATCACTAATTAAAAAGACATCAAGAGACAGCTTGCAGACAAGTCCCCAAACAATACCCGGTTGAAAGACTCTGTGGTTATTTCCACAGCCACCCTTCCCCTGCAACCAAGGATGACACGCCCAAAAGCAGGGAGGTGCGTGCATGGAAGAATGTTATCTGCCTTTGAAGGACAACAATACACCCATCACACTGTACGGCTTTCAGAGAGCTAGCGGACAGGCTTTGCCTGGCATCAGAGAGATCTCCTTAGATGATCAGCTTTTCCCAGCACATTCCTCAACGTGCAAAAAGGCAGAGTCGGACATATCCCGCACGCACCCGTTGTAAAGACACAGGATCACTTCTCTATTGCATCCATTAAGTCATCCTAGACCAACTGCTTTTTCAGTCTGTAGTACCATTTCTTTGTGGATTTTTGATTGCCATCACCTGCTAAGTGCCAATTTCATGTCACAAATTCTAAAAAAACAATTTCTAAACCTCGACAAGATCAAAGCTCAACCAAGTAGAAAGCAAGGCACTTACCTTCCCGCTCGCTCCCCCTCAAAACTTGAGCATCCATTACTAGGAACTCTAGATAAAAGAGTTTCTTTAGGAAGATGCCTGAATTGATAATGCAGCATCACAGCTTGCAATACAGGTTGAAAAATGCAGCCGTTTCTACTACTACATGCATAAACCTGTACGGGCTCTGGGTTTCCAGGGTGGCCCTCGATGGTCCTTTTTGGACACTCTAAACTAACCCCTCCAAGTAGTGGTCTCAGTGAACTCTGATAGAGCTGTACATGTTAACAACCAGAAGCAGCAGCTGGGAGGCATTTGTTGCAAGCTCTCTCCTTTCCCCATGTCTTCTGGCATCCAAATCCACGTTCTAGGGCAGCTCGTTTGAGAAAATTTTGGGTAGGTTTCTCCAGCTTAACTGCAAACTCGAGAAAACTTCCTCTTTTATGACTACAGACTACCACTGAAACAGAAGTTACAACAAGCATCATCATCCTTCTCCTGCTKGAGGATGAAAATCCCACCTCTTGTTTTGAAATTGGGATGGCAAGACATCCTTATGAAGAAATGCTTTCAGAACTTACTTATTGTTTTAGGCAGCAGAGACCATTTTGTGTTTGTGCTAAAAAAACCTTTTTTTTTTTTTTTTTACCAGAGTTTGCCACAAACTAACTGCAACAAATGAAGCCTTTCTTTCTAATGGCAAGAAACCACTGCCACCTGGCCAACTATCCATAAAGGTGTAATAGAAGGCAAAAAAAAAAGAGTCCGCAAAAGATGACTATCTGCTATTTAGGAAAAGGGACCCCGAGTGCACAACATTCTGATGGACCTACCTTCTACTTACTTGGGATTTTGTAGCTACGGGGCAGRGAGAAAAAAAAAACCAATCATTTCCAKTAAAAAAAAAACCAAGCATACTGGAGAAGCCTACGCCCCAAGCATGCAACACTCACCCCACTTAAGCCAAGAACAACACTTCAYGGACTGCGAAGCAGTACCGTGGTACCACATCCACCCAGCCCGAAGTCTCCCTAGACCAACTTCACTGAACAACAGGGAGCTTCTCTTGAGGCTTCACCAGCGATTTGATAACAGCATGCACATGGAGGTGGGCAAAGCCAGCTGACCATCCTCTTCTGCTCAGGGTAATAGCAAGTGAAAGCAGCTGGGTAAGAATGCAGAAAGACCTCTGGTATTCACCAGCAGTTGGAAGAGAGGGAGAGAACTACATATAATAAAATAATCCTCTAGACGCACAGAAAGAGGCTCTGACCAGATCATTAACAACTCAGGGAAGGCAAAAAAAAAACAACCAAAACAAAGACATTAGATAGYTTGAAGACACAGCAGTTTGAGAAAGTATGAGAGCTGTGGATTACTACAACAGAAAAGAGAACATTTTACGCTCCTGTACTTCACCCAAATCTGGATTTTTGATACTGCCATGGTCTACCCCTTCCACTAAAAGGGGATTTACTTTTACCACACGGTAGAAATAAAACAATGCAGAAGGCTAGCGAGGACAGTGAAGAGGCACAAACTCATTCAAGGAATTAACAGATGGCCYCCGACTAGAAAAAGCCAGCAGAAAAGCAAGTGAAAAATGCTTATATAAAAATCAAAGACTGACATACACCTTTAATACATACCAACACCTTTATGATTTTAAGAGCAGATTGCAGCAGGCGCTGCCTCAGATCCGGCACCCGTTCCCACGGGGCGTCGCAGCAGCCGGGAGCTAAGCGTTCACGTGGGGKCCAAGTGTTAGGACCGGGAAAGGGAATCCACCCAGGGACAACACACAGAGATACCAAGCTCTCCCTCAGGGCCACCTGAAGTCACYGACAYKGGGGAACTGCACCCACGTGCATTTCTMTTTAGTCCCTTCACACCTGTTTCTGCTCCCTTGGGCAGAGGGCCCTGCTTAGGGTGCATGAGGGGCAACAGGTAAGTGCAGACACAGAGAGGACCCCGCTCAACACATCGGGAGTCCCCAGGCTCCCGCACCCACGGAGCGACAAGGGCATTTCTGYRAGGGGCTCTGGTCCGACCGTCAGCCTCTCCCACACCCGGGGACCCTCCTGCTGCCCACACAGGGCAGCAGCCCAACACAGAGGACACCTCTCCCACACAGCAGCCTCCCTYAGGCCCCCAGGAAGCCCAATAAAAGAGGCTCATGGGGGGCGGTGCCCCCCAGCCCCRCCGTGAGTGGGCAGAGCTGCGGCGAGGCGGGACGGGGCGCAGCTGCGGGCGAGGGGSTGCACCGGGGCGGCTCCCTCCCCTCCACCTGCACGTGCCGAGCACAGATGGCCTGTTGGGTGAGCGGCAGAAACATGACCTGGAAGCCGAGCTCAAACCCTGGGTGCATCATTAACCGCAGAGCCTAGAGGCTGTTCCACCAGCTAACACTTACCAGATTTAAGAAAATGGTATCTGATATGATAATAAACGCATGTTGTTTCAAAGTTCTTATTTTGGGAAAGGCTGTTCTTAAGCGATCCCGGTGTGGCCCCACAGGGCCATGTCATTCAGTCCCAAGTAAATTCTGCCAAAATAAAACCTGATTCGACCATTATTTTCACTTAAATATATTCTTTCTGTGTGAATGGTCCCTTGCACGATGCTTGAGCTACGTAGGCTCATAAAGGCAGCCCAACATGCTACAAATGAGTCTGGCTTTCGGAGTGCAAGATGGTAAGAGTGAGACCCTTCCGAGACGGGATCAGCTGACACGCTAGGAATCTACTCCGCAAATTGCTGCGGATTTCAGAAGAAGCAGCGTTAGACCCTGAGGAAGCAGATACGGGAGTTCGCTCTGTTTTCAGCAGGGAGCTCAGTTTGGCTCATACAATAGCGGTTTAGCCTTACAAGCATAGTCGTAAATTCTTCTAGTGCAAAAAGTATCTTTCCTCTTTCACTGCAGAACCACTACCTGACAGGCATGTCCATATTCCCAGTGGAAAGCAGGGTAAAATATACAGTATGCTTTTTTATATGTGTGCTTCACTCGTGGCGAGATTTTCTGGTTCTCCGATTGCCATCATTCCGATATTTTGAATGTTCCAAAGAGATGTGAGACGGGTCTAAGATTATTTACAAGGTTACCGCTTTCCAGCATTGTTGCAGTCTTTCCTAGAGGAGGGAGAGCGCTGGAACAAGGACGCGGCTGAGCCGAGGGCCGCGGGAGCGAGAGCTGAAAATAGTCGAGGGCGGTTCTGTGTCATCTGCAGATGCAAGATCACACTTGAAACTTTTGCAATGGAAAATATGTTACTAGATTTTTAATATATAATTCTTATTTTTTATTTATACTTCGTTTTATTAATATTTTATATTAAAAAAAAAACATGTAACTTCTTTGCCATTGCCATTTGCTTATTTCTTCAGATTTGGGATTCTTTCTGAGTGCATCTTTTGCAGAGGGGTGATGCACTAAATCTATCAGCGTGAGCTAATGTACTAGATGCCACTAGATGGCGGGTAGTATCTGCACAATTTTTGTTCTCATCRGAGAAGGGGAAAGGCTAGGTTATATTGCCTAAAACTATGTTTTGAGAGATGGAAATCGTCACTCATTTGCTTTCATGAGCTCTCATTTGAGAGCTAATTGCTTGGGTTGTCTGAAGAAGGAAAGCACGGTTGTATAAACAGCTAAAGCTTCTTAAACATTGGTGGAAATACACCTATAATGGAGAAAATATCTATGTTGTATGAATACATCTGCTGTAGTAACTACAGCATCCGCCAAAACCATTTGCATGCACTAAAAACAGAGCCCATCTTAGCTTTAGAAGGTTAATGAGTATCTTTATGGAGGATTAAGGAAAAGGTGGGTCCACAGCAGGTTGCAGAAGTTTAATGAGAAAATATGCACGGCCGACTGATGCATTATGAACGTGTTTATTGATTTGTTTGTTTTCTTTTTTTGAAGCCAAGCTTTTTGATTCAGTGATTTGCACAGGTTATTTTTCCTAGGTCAAGTGAATGTTTTCAAAGTAGGGGCTATTTAGTGACCGGTATTGGCGAGGGTTTTTTTGTCATGTGATGTGCAGGATTTTGAGACGCTCGAAAGCTATATGTTTTTTCTTCCTACCTTCCAATGTGTATTTCTAGGCAAAGCGGGTGTTTAGAAAATTTTCGTGAGGGCATTTTGCGGAGTTGGGAAGTCATGCATTTAGGAAAAGAAGTCACGTTGTGTCACTAGCGATGGATCARTTGTAAAGTTGGAAAAGTGAAAAAAGTAGCTGCAATTTGTACTTCGCCTACAGTCGGCTGGTGAAAATATGTTGGCGGGACCCATTTTGTTTGAGCAGTGAATAAAGACTGTATGTGTGCAGATCAGGGTTTCTGAATCATTTCCGGATGTTTTAATCACACATAACTTGCCATTTGGTATTGGATACATTGAACCAGGTTAAATTAAAATCCCTTTTCGAATCTGCCCAAGAGGAGGCACCTAACAACAGACACCTGAAGAATCTGGATACCGATCAGATTGATTTAATGCTACCAATGCAGATTTTTTTTTTTTTCACAGAGATGTGTCAAAGAAGTCACTGAAAGTGTAATACTGATGTCTTAGCCAGGCCAAGGCTTTTAGGAGCTGTTCTAGAAATTGTGTTGTGGTACCGTATCCTATCGTGTTCCTCCCCTTCACCAATAAAGAAAGAAAACGTATTCTCTCCCTCACATGTATCGCTAGGCATAAAAATTACAGGCATCTAAATAAGTAAGGAAAAATATGCAAAGTCTTATTTCATGAAATACTATTCCGTGGGACGGAGAAAGTTTACATTCCTTTAGCAAACTGTATGTGGGCTGCAGAGAACACTGCTTGGCTGTGTTAAAATTAATACAGAAACTTTAGAGTGTGAAGTCATTCATAGATAGCAAATAGGAAAATTCTGCATCCCTGGTTTTCCAAATTGCTGCCCAGGGAATTATAKTTTCACCAAAATGATCTGTTCAAAACTATTCGATCATCAACAACCAAATAAATTACCTTGTGCAGTATTTTCTCGAAAAATTGTTTTCAGCTACTAAATATTTGAGTTTGGTTGGCTTCATTTCAGAGTACTATAGAATATGATCAAATAAGCCCCTCTATCTTACATCTATTTTGTATTTTACTTGTGTTGTTTTAAAATGTTCTGCAAAATMCCTCCTTTATCTTTGGCCCCCAAAAAGCTATTTCACATTCCTCCCAATTATCAGGAAGAAACTACTGTCTCTCAAGATCTCAAAAAACGATCTTTATGCTCCTCTGAAAATTCATCATAGGTCACATTTCCTGCCTCTCCAACACAGAGAGATCTCAATATGAAATCYCACTTAATAAGCAGAGTGAAGTGTCTTACATGAACTTCAAGTTATTGAATAGCTAACAGCTCCATGTAAACTGTCTTATGCTGGTCTAGCCCCGCCGTGACAGACATCAAAAGCTGCGTCTGTGTCCAAAGGAAAAGCTTCATCTTCTCAGCTATGGAAAGAAGTTGGCATTTTTTTTTAGCACACGATTTGGRAAATCAAATTGTCAATGTGCTACTCTATAGTTTGTGTTCCTTCCCCTGTTTTACTTCAAAAAAACCTGTCCACTGTCTGAGGTTCTTCCCTCTGCTGAAGAATGATCTCCCGAGAGGCTCCATAGATGAATCTTCGTTTAGGGTATCTCTCTCCAGTCACAGGTCATTTACTTTCGGGACCGAAACCACTCATCTTGTATTGGTTTCCACGGGAGAAGCTGTAAGTCTTATCTCATTTCTATGAAGGAAAGGAAGTGTAATAGTTGTTTTGTTAGACTCTCAAAGTGTAGCATGTTTGGACTTACATTTGGGGAAAACAATTCCACCTACCTACAAGACACAATAAACTAGAAATCATAGCAGTGGGGCTACCTGAGTCAGAAATCAGAAGTAGAAATTTGTCATTCACCGTAAAAAGGTGTTTGGGTACCACTCTATGGACCAGCTATTTCTAGAGACCTTCTCTAGAAGTGGCATCATCTATCTATAGGCTCTCGTTAAATACATCAATCATGAAGCTTCCTTTACAATTAAAATATTAATTAGAAGAGTACAAAGGCCTTACAGACTGCACAAAATCATTTTTACGCTACTGTTATACATGTTGGGTTTGAGCCAGACGATGTTAGATGTGTGTGTGAAGTATGACACCACCGCACAAGCAGCGAAAATGTGGAAGTCCCTTAATTTGTTAGGATCAGATGTCACAGTTTTCTAAACATGGACAGCATTTTCATGGTCATCTGTTTTCCCCTACATTAGAACAAAAGATCCTAGCCTGATAAAACTGTTGACTCAGAAAATTACTGAGCCATTCTCAGGAGTAACTCACTATTTTGTGTGCTCTGAAATGCTGTATTTGACTTGGCTCCGGAAGGTATTAAAAATGCACTAGCAATTCTGTTGCAGTGTAAAAAAAAACAAAATAGTTGAGCCTGCTGGTTTAATACCATTCCCAGGGCACCGATTACATGGGGATGCACATAGAGTATCTACTGCAGTAATTTCATAAGCTGTGAAACGTTGGAGTACCCTTGAAATAGGAGGTTAGCGTGTGCAAAGGGCAGATGCTCTGTCATTCCAAGTGGATATTTCGTGTAAGATTGTGCGAGGCAGAATCGCCGCTACCGATCCCAGAAACTTTCTCCTCGTTTCTGCTGGTCGCTTTTTGGCTTTGGTTCACTCGGGTTGACAGGTTACTGTATGTATTTGACTTGGTTTAGCATTTAAACCCCCCACCTTCAAGAGATGGGAAATGGTTGTGGTTAGGAGGCTTTACTCTCTGG